ATTCCCAAGTCTGCCAAAGAAGGAGGTGGCAGTGGACCATCTTTCAGGGTTTTAAGTCCTAACAGTGTGTGAATTATTATGAGCCACACTGACTGGGACATGCACAAGTAGCCTGATTTCTCTGTGTCCCAATTTCTTTATCTGTGGTATATGAATCATGCTTGTAACTAGCTCATAGTGTTTTGTGGTGCTTTTTGAGACAAAATTCATATAACATAAAATTAGCCTTTTAAAAATGTATGGAACACTCAGCATTACACAGCCACCACCTTCATCAAGTTCCAAACCATTTTCATCAACCCCAAAGGAACCCTCACACCCACTAAGCAGTCACTCCCTATTGTCTCCTCCCCCAGGCCAGGGTCACAAAGAATCTGCATTCTGTCTTGATGCATTTGACTAATTTGGGTATTTCATGTAAACAGAATCATGCAATATGTGACAATTTGTGTCTTCTTTCACTTAGCACAGTGTTTTTGAGGTTCATCCACACTGAAGCATAGCATGTATCAGTCATCCATTCCTGTTTATGGCTGCATAATATTCCATTGTATGTACACACCACATTCTGTTCATCCACTCATCCATGGATGGATATTTGGGTTGATCCCACTCTTTGGTCACTGTGAATAATGCTGCTATGAATATGGCATTTGAGTTCCTGTTTTCAGTTCAACTCTTAGGGTTTTTCTGAGGACTAGATACATGCTTACCACATAGTGGGGGCACAATAATTGCTAGCAATCGATGTCATTAATATTATCCTGAAGGTGTGCAAAGAGGACCCCACAGGGGTTCTTTCTCTTGCTGTCTGTCTTAGGTCCAGCAGCCAGAATTTGTTTGCTTTCTCCCGCTACTGGTTTTTAGTCTGTGTACAAAACTCTGCTGCTGTGGCTGATGTGGAGAACTAGAGCAAGCAGAGGGAGGTGAAAGGCAGCAGAGGAGTAGGGGGAAGGAGGACGGGGAGGGGAGTGGCAGGGGGCAGCACTGTGCTAGCAGCCCTGAGCGAGGCAGAGGGGCAGAGATGACAGCAGGGACCCGGGGAAGAGCGGACACAGAGGAGGACTTAGAGAATGAGGAGGGCAGTTTTAAAGAACATGACTGCTGCCAGTTCCTGCTCCAGGGTGGGAGGGGAGGGCTGGCGTAATCATGGGGCTGGTGCCACTAGCGGAATAAGGTCAGGACGATGAGGGGCCTCAGGCAAGGACGAGTAGCGGGAGATGGCTAGAATGAATTGGTGTTCTCCAAGTGGCCACAGGATTCTGTCTGTGGCTGAGGGTTAGGGTTGGGCCCTGTGGACAAGCGCTGAGAATAGTCAGCTTGAGGTCAGGTGACAAAACAGTAACAGGCAAATGCAGATTTTAAGAAAGCTCATGCTGCCAGTTAGGCAATTGACGTGGGCCGTGGGTATCCTTGCTGGATGGGAGTTTGGAGCACTTTCTGCCCATGCCTGACAGGAGTGGAGAGGCAGACGTCTCAGAGCTGTGGATGTGGCCATCTGGAATCCTAGGGAACTTCTGCTTTCTGTGCTGGAGGAAGCAAGAAAGGATCCACATCGCTTTAGGCAGAGCAATTTCTTCTTCTTTTCCTAAATGAAAACATAATTGACATACAATATCCCATTAGTTTGAGGTGTACACTGTAGTGATTCAATATTTTTATCTATTACAGTTGATTCCCCACTATCAACTGTAGTTACTGTCTGTCTAGTTACTATCTGCCATCATACAAAGTTATTATGATATAATTGACTGTATTCCCTATGCTGTACTCTTCGTCCCTATGACCTAGTTTATAACTGGGAGTTGCACCTCCTAATCCTTCTCACCTGTTTTGTCCATCCCACCAACCCTTTCTCCCTCTGGTAGCCAGCAATTTGTTTTCTGTGTCTGTGAGTGTTCTGTTCTGCTTTGTTTGTTCATGTGTTTTGTTTTTTAGATTCCACACAGAAGTGAGATCATACAGTATTTGTCTTTCTCTGGTTTATTTCACTTAGCATGATACATTCAGATCCAAATGGCAAGAGTTCATTATTTTTTTATGGCTGAATAGTACTTCATTGTATATGTACCACATCTTCTTTATCCATTCATCTATTGATGGCCATGTAAGTTGCTTCCATATCTTGGCTACTGTAACTAATGCTGTAAGGAACATAGGGATGCATATATCTCTTCAAATTGGTGTTTTTGTTTTCTTTGGATAAATACCTATAAGGACAATTGTTGCAATGTATTGTAGCTCTATTTTTAATTCTTTTAGGAGCCTCCATACTGTTTTCCATAGTGGCTGTGCCAATTTACATTCCTCCCAGCAGTGCACAAGGGTGCCCTTTTCTTCATATCCTCACTGACACTTGTTATTTTTGTCTTTTTGATAATAACCAATCTAACAGGTGTGAGGTGCTATCTCACTGTGGTTTTGAGTTGCATTTCTCTGATGATTAGTGATGTTGAACATCTTTTCATATAACTGTTGGCCATCTGCCTGTCTTTGGAAAAATGCCTATCAAAGTCCTCTGCCCAATTTTAATCAAGTTGCTTGGGGTTTTTTAAATATCAAATTATGTAAATCCCTATGTATTTCAGATATTAGCCCCCTCTCAAATGTATGATTTGCAAATATCTTCTCCCATTCAAACGTTTGCTTTTTGTTTCATTGATGGTTTCTTTTGCAGTGCAAAATATGTTTAGTTTGATGTAATCCCATTTGTTTACTTTAGCTCTATTGCCCTTATCTGAGGAGACTGGTCAAAAATAAATATTGCTAAGACTGATGTCAGAGAACTTAATATCTATGTTTTCTTCTAGGAGTTTTATGGCTTCAGGTCTTACATCACTCCAAGACTTTAATCCATTTTGAATTTATGTTTGCCTATGTGGGCAATTTCTTCTTAATAATGGAGTAATGTAGCTGGGACCAACATGCAAAGGCTGCCTTTTTGCCCCAGTGTGCAAGAGAACTGAGAAGAATTACTCCCATTTTCATTCAGATAACAGGGATCAGAATGAATGTCAAGAAGGAGGGAAGCCATAAGTTACATCTTGTAAGGTGCTGTAGGAAATTAGGAAATGATGCAGTTAAATAAGCCTGTGCATCCTTGAATTAGCTATACTGGTCTCAGTATTCAACCTGAGATCCTTCTCTCTAAAGTTAAATAGTGAGACCTTTGTAGAGCAGACCTTATGTGTTGTATTGCAGAGGATCATCTTTAGAGGGCCTGGATCTGAGGTTTGCTATCTCAGATGAAAAGAAGCTCATCCTGATGTGACCCTTAGGGGAAGTGCCAGCACTTGGCCAGGGAAGAAGCCCTTGAGTAAAGGGCAGAACCATTCTAACATCATTTTTCTGCACCTTGAATGCTGTTCTTTGCATATCCATCGCTCTCTTGCTCCTTCATTCATAATATACACTAAAAACGTAATGTCTAGGATCCTCTTTTTACTGCATCAGTGGGCTCATAGGATTCCTGTTTTTTGGAGCAGGGATGGAATTTAAGCATCATCTAATCCAATCCTCTTATTTAACAAAGGGAGAAGAATTGAAGGCCCTGGAATTTGCTCAGACATCACCTGGAAGGGATTGGAGTCAGAACTAGAGCCTGGGTCTTCAAACTCCCTATTTTTCTTTCCACTGTTGTGTGTGTTCTCGAAGCTGAAGTCCAGCAGTAGCAATTCGCCTCTTGTTCCTGGACCTCTCAGGAGGTGGTGCTTCATTCTCCTATTTATGAATATTAAAACACAAAGTCCAAACTGTAGAAAAAGCATATATCTATTTGTCAGGACAGAGATAACATCTATTTCCCTTTTTCCATCCTAAGAACCTAGTTAGGTGTTAACAGACACTAACTGTTAATCAAGGAAAACATTCTAGTTACTGGCAGAAATCATTAAGGCCCAGGTGTTGAGAATCTCAGTCAAGACAGAAGCAACAAAAATTAATGTTTAGACCAACGAGGAGAATATTAAATGTGGAGTCAAAGGGAATATGAAGAAATCTAAATAAAAGAATAAAGCATGTAAGGTTGGCTAAAAAAGGAGAGTATAGGGAAATGGTACTTCTTTTTATGAAGGGATAAGGGACTAAGTAAGATTAAAGCTTATCTGGAAATGGCTGTTTATTTAAAACTACTCTGCAGCCTGGAGAAATCAGATGTCCTCAGGACTGGGTGAGTAACTAAGAAATGTGCCACACATACACATTTTGGTTGGTCTAGCTAATATTTGGAAATTTGGGGACATTTGAGACTTTTTGGGAAGTGGTTGAGAAAATGTGCAGTACATTTCCTTCCTACTGTCACCCTGCCTGGCCAGAAGCAGGCAAGGAGGCCTGAGTTCTGCTACTGTGCCGCAGATACCCCTCTCGGATGGCGGGGACGGCTCGCCATGACCGGGAGATGGCTATCCAGGCCAAGAAAAAGCTCACCACGGCCACGGACCCCATTGAAAGACTCCGGCTGCAATGTCTGGCCAGGGGCTCCGCAGGCATCAAAGGACTTGGCAGGTATTACCAGGACAATGGGGTGGCAGGGAGATGCAGTAGAAAGACATGAGTAGGGCATGAGTTTAGACTAATGTCTCCAATTCTAACCTATTAACCTATTGCCACATGGATCTGATCATTGGAGCCTCCTCCCCTGGCTTTTCTGTGTTTCTGTTCCAACAGTGAGAAACCTGTCTCCCACCATCTGACACCCATTTATTAATTGTTCAAATCTAGTATATGTGCATAGAAATATTAGAGTTGTTAAATCATCTCCATGGGAAATATCACCAGAGCCTGGTGGTTACATGCAGTTCCTTTTGCCTGTAGTCTTGAGGGCTGTATTCATTTCCAAAGTTACTTAAGTCAACACGTTAAGTCAAAGTTAAGTAAGTCAATACACACACCCTCACTGAGACTGTTTCAAAGCTTTGTAATAATGTCAGATTCTCTTGTCACAGTCTGAATTCCTTCTGGGGACCCTGTGACTTCCTAAATAATTTTTTTAAATGTATATACATTCAAGTTCACTCTTGTACTATAAAGTTCTATGGGCTTTAGCAAATGCGCTGTGTCATGTGTCCACCACTATAGACTCATTCACAGTAGTTTCACTGCCCTAAAAATTCCTGTACTCCACCTTTCCTTTCTCTCCTCTCCCTCATTATTTTACTATCTCTATAGTTTTGCCTTTTTGATAATGTCATATAATTAGAATCATACAGTACATTTTTAAGGATTTTGTTTCCTTTTATGAGATTCTGAGAAGAGGTTCTCCAATTTTGGAAGGAGGGTACAGAGAGGAATCAAAGCCTTCTGTGTTTTACCTTGAAAAACTCTTGAGAATGATTTTTCTTTTTAAATCTTTATGCCTCCAACTTGTTCTTTATGTTTTTTTTTTTTAATTTTGTATGTGTATTTTCTTCAGAGCATTTCGAATTATGGATGACAATAATAGCCGGACCCTTGATTTCAAAGAATTTGTGAAAGGGTTAAATGATTATGCTGTGGTCATGGAAAAGGAAGAAGCAGAAGAGCTGTTCCAGAGGTTTGATAAAGATGGAAACGGGACAATCGACTTCAATGAGTTTCTTCTCACATTAAGAGTAAGTGGCCCCCCTAGTATGCTGAGCTGGACTTTCGCCTGGTTTGGGTTGACTATTGTGAGGTTTTATTTCCAGCAGTTGTTAGCACACTGTGGAGAATGTGGGCAAGAGACTGAGGAGAGGTTTGGGGACTCTTTGGAGCAATCATAATGCATGTCATTTAATGGCACACAATCAATTTCACATCATTGGGAGGAATAAGATATTTCATCACCTATGATATAAAGGAAACTCATTTATTATTTATGTCTGTGTATGTGTTTTTTTTCCCTATTTATCTAGCCTCCGATGTCCAGAGCCAGAAAAGAGGTAATTATGCAAGCTTTTAGAAAGTTAGACAAGACTGGAGATGGTGTTATAACAATTGAAGATCTTCGTGAGGTGTACAACGCAAAACACCATCCAAAGTACCAAAATGGAGAGTGGACGGAGGAACAAGTGTTCAGGAAATTTCTGGATAACTTTGATTCACCCTATGACAAAGATGGATTGGTAAGAAAAAGAGCTTAATTTAAGCAAGATCTCTTCTATCCAATTTGCAATTGTAAATGGGAAGTAGGTTCAAAGCTTAAAAGAAGGCTTATACCATATTTGTCATAAATAGAAGTAAAATGTTTTCTTTAGGAACTATCTAGGAAGTTGAGAACTAAAGTAAAAAGATATGAGGGTGCATATATACTGGTAGGGGATGCACATACAGTTAAATACCCATCATTTGGAGAAAGTGGTATTTAGATTAAACATTTCATTGTATGATTATCATATTTACCATACACAGCTAGCTACATTCCAATGAACTAGACTACAATAAAACATATTTAACTTTAAAATGAGACAATAATTTTGTTTTTTGGAACATAGTTCACAAGGTGTCTCAGGATGTCACTGTGCTGTTTGCACTCATTGTTACAAGCTTCACTTGTCATCACACTTTGCTGTGTAAATGCCATGTAAGGGAGACTTCCAGTGAAGGGAATGCTGAGTAACAGAATGTACTTCGATTTAATCTTCAGTAGGCTTTGAGATTAACTTGCACTTCTAAACTACAGTGAATTCAAAACCAAAAGCAACTACCCCTTCTCTATTAACTGGTATCTTCAGGTCATAAAAGCATAGCTTGTTGGGGAAGGAATTATATCTGTATAACTATATCTAGGCTGAGATGAAAACGTCATTTGTCTTTGTCAACAGCCATAAGAGGACTTTTGAACCCAGCACCAGGTCTGCTTTGAAGTGTCCTGAAGGCAGTGATGAGAAAGCAGGGGGCTCGCCCCTGGGGTGGCAGTCAGCAGCAGAAGCCTGGGGAGGGTTGCTCCTGACTCCTGTGTTGCACAGGAAGGCTGAGTGGGACAGTGGCAGGAAGAAGAGACGGTGATGATAGGAACAGAAAACATGCCTGCCCCTTCTGAAGGGTCTTTCTCCAACTTTTTCTATGAAACTTCATGGCGAGTCCCATTGGCAAGGGGTGAGGGGCTCAAAAGGGGGGATAGGAAAGACACCTTCCTTTCCTTCCTGTTGTCATTTGTCTAGAGAAGTAGCCTCCATTTTGGAGCGAGTAGATTGCAGAGGTAGATTTGAAAAAACGGGCCTAAATTCTGTAGGACCACCTAATGCTTAGGGACAAAAATAACAGAACGGTATGTTTTCTTCCAATATTGCTGGCCTTTGATCTCTGACATGGTAGTGGAAAAATAGTCAACTGCCATTTCCCCAAATTAGTCCAACTCTCCATGGGACCCCAGGGTGTCCTTGCCTCCCTTCTGCAGGTGGTTCCTCCTCATTGCCAGGGGAAACCTCAGCTACCTTTTTCTCTAACCCAAGTCAAAGTAGCTAGTTACTATGATTCAGCTGATTTCTATCTCTATAGTTTTGCCTTTTTGATAATGTCATATAATTAGAATCATACAGTACATTTTTAAGGATTTTGTTTCCTTTTATGAGATTCTGAGAAGAGGTTCTCCAATTTTGGAAGGAGGGTACAGAGAGGAATCAAAGCCTTCTGTGTTTTACCTTGAAAAACTCTTGAGAATGATTTTTCTTTTTAAATCTTTATGCCTCCAACTTGTTCTTTATGTTTTTTTTTTAATTTTGTATGTGTATTTTCTTCAGAGCATTTCGAATTATGGATGACAATAATAGCCGGACCCTTGATTTCAAAGAATTTGTGAAAGGGTTAAATGATTATGCTGTGGTCATGGAAAAGGAAGAAGCAGAAGAGCTGTTCCAGAGGTTTGATAAAGATGGAAACGGGACAATCGACTTCAATGAGTTTCTTCTCACATTAAGAGTAAGTGGCCCCCCTAGTATGCTGAGCTGGACTTTCGCCTGGTTTGGGTTGTCTATTGTGAGGTTTTATTTCCAGCAGTTGTTAGCACACTGTGGAGAATGTGGGCAAGAGACTGAGGAGAGGTTTGGGGACTCTTTGGAGCAATCATAATGCATGTCATTTAATGGCACACAATCAATTTCACATCATTGGGAGGAATAAGATATTTCATCACCTATGATATAAAGGAAACTCATTTATTATTTATGTCTGTGTATGTGTTTTTTTTCCCTATTTATCTAGCCTCCGATGTCCAGAGCCAGAAAAGAGGTAATTATGCAAGCTTTTAGAAAGTTAGACAAGACTGGAGATGGTGTTATAACAATTGAAGATCTTCGTGAGGTGTACAACGCAAAACACCATCCAAAGTACCAAAATGGAGAGTGGACAGAGGAACAAGTGTTCAGGAAATTTCTGGATAACTTTGATTCACCCTATGACAAAGATGGATTGGTAAGAAAAAGAGCTTAATTTAAGCAAGATCTCTTCTATCCAATTTGCAATTGTAAATGGGAAGTAGGTTCAAAGCTTAAAAGAAGGCTTATACCATATTTGTCATAAATAGAAGTAAAATGTTTTCTTTAGGAACTATCTAGGAAGTTGAGAACTAAAGTAAAAAGATATGAGGGTGCATATATACTGGTAGGGGATGCACATACAGTTAAATACCCATCATTTGGAGAAAGTGGTATTTAGATTAAACATTTCATTGTATGATTATCATATTTACCATACACAGCTAGCTACATTCCAATGAACTAGACTACAATAAAACATATTTAACTTTAAAATGAGACAATAATTTTGTTTTTTGGAACATAGTTCACAAGGTGTCTCAGGATGTCACTGTGCTGTTTGCACTCATTGTTACAAGCTTCACTTGTCATCACACTTTGCTGTGTAAATGCCATGTAAGGGAGACTTCCAGTGAAGGGAATGCTGAGTAACAGAATGTACTTCGATTTAATCTTCAGTAGGCTTTGAGATTAACTTGCACTTCTAAACTACAGTGAATTCAAAACCAAAAGCAACTACCCCTTCTCTATTAACTGGTATCTTCAGGTCATAAAAGCATAGCTTGTTGGGGAAGGAATTATATCTGTATAACTATATCTAGGCTGAGATGAAAACGTCATTTGTCTTTGTCAACAGCCATAAGAGGACTTTTGAACCCAGCACCAGGTCTGCTTTGAAGTGTCCTGAAGGCAGTGATGAGAAAGCAGGGGGCTCGCCCCTGGGGTGGCAGTCAGCAGCAGAAGCCTGGGGAGGGTTGCTCCTGACTCCTGTGTTGCACAGGAAGGCTGAGTGGGACAGTGGCAGGAAGAAGAGACGGTGATGATAGGAACAGAAAACATGCCTGCCCCTTCTGAAGGGTCTTTCTCCAACTTTTTCTATGAAACTTCATGGCGAGTCCCATTGGCAAGGGGTGAGGGGCTCAAAAGGGGGGATAGGAAAGACACCTTCCTTTCCTTCCTGTTGTCATTTGTCTAGAGAAGTAGCCTCCATTTTGGAGCGAGTAGATTGCAGAGGTAGATTTGAAAAAACGGGCCTAAATTCTGTAGGACCACCTAATGCTTAGGGACAAAAATAACAGAACGGTATGTTTTCTTCCAATATTGCTGGCCTTTGATCTCTGACATGGTAGTGGAAAAATAGTCAACTGCCATTTCCCCAAATTAGCCCAACTCTCCATGGGACCCCAGGGTGTCCTTGCCTCCCTTCTGCAGGTGGTTCCTCCTCATTGCCAGGGGAAACCTCAGCTACCTTTTTCTCTAACCCAAGTCAAAGTAGCTAGTTACTATGATTCAGCTGATTTAAAGTTCCCACCCTGTCTCTTTTGACATTTATCTTAACAAGCCACATTAAGTTCTCAAAAACTCATGACGCTTATTGGGGTTTTTAGCAGGTACAGCATTCATGTCCCTTGACTCTCACAGCCCCTGTATTAATACCCTGCTGCCTGTGTATGGTCATCCTGCGGGTGCGTTTAACAGACAGCTGGCAGACTCCAGATTCTTTTAGGGTGGAGCGTGAGGATTTACAGTTTTAGTAAATGTCCCAAATGACTCTTACTCACATTCATATTTGCGATCCTTGATTCTAAAGGATTCAGAAGTGCCTTTTTAAATGACTAAGTATAACCTGCACATGGACCTCATTTAGCATAAATATGGATCTAGGCAATGTTTATTAAGCACCTAGGACCTACTGGGTATTATGCTAGGCTTTATAGGGACATCTTTCTTAACAGACGTAATGAAAATGTTTCTGCAAAGTGAAGTGTGATACAAACTTTTGTACATTGAATCATATTTTAAATGTACAAGGAAGTGTCAATGTAAAGTGACTCCATGGTAAATTCTTTTACAAAGAAAAATAATAAGCTCCTAGTTCATCTTTTTCAGGTGTAGTTAAGATTTCTTATGGTGAAGCATAGCCAGTGCACTCATTTATGGTTAAAATATATAGTCGATATCCCAATAAGACAGAATTCAGAGTAAGGCAAGAATGTTAGCGTATGGATGATATTCCAGTGTGTGAACTTTGATTAATCTAGGCTAAGCTCTCAAGTACTCATGAATGTTACTGGAGTTTGTGGCAGTCATGGAATTTGATGTCGTACATCCTATGCTAATAATACCCCACCCTCTGCTCTCGGAAGACCTTGTGCACCAGAAGCCATTTGGACAGAGGCAGGAAAGCAATCAAATAACGTGTGAAGGAGACCTTCCTCACTGTGATTATATCCCCCAGCCTCCCCCCACCCAAATTGGGTGAGATTTTCACATCTGATTTTTTTAATATCTAGGCTTTGAAGTTTTCATTTGTATGTTATTTTATAGGAACAGGAAACATTTAATTATTTAATTACATTAACTATTAAAATTACAAATACTAAAAAAATCTTAGAACTCGATTAGCCTTTGAGAAGATATGAGTCTCATTGTCTCATTTAATATAGGCATTTTTAATTAAAAATATTTAAAGTATATTAGTGAATATTTGTAGATAAACTAACTTATTTTAAGACTTTCAAATCTATCTGAAGCAGAGAAAAAGGGACTGTTCCTTCTGTCATGATTCAAATATTCCCATTGCCTTCACCTGGGACCTTCTCTAGTATATAATGTATACTCTGTCAGTGAAGGGTAGCATGGTCAGGAGA